CACATTCATCTGCTGAAAGGGGGAAGTTTCTCTGCGCTCACCTTAAAGCTGAGTTGAAGACATGTATCAGAAGGATTGAGTTCACAAAACAATCATGGACCAATATGTAGCTTACACAATAGTGATGTAGAAACCTGAAGCCTCTAATGCATTGTAATTTTCACACATCTTAAAGCATGTCTGGAGGGGATCGTTAAAGTCATTTTGTGTTTTCATGTTAGGTCTGGCGGTCATGCATTTTCAAGACACCAACGAGTTAGATGTGGGGAACAACCCTAAAGTGGGCACAAAGCGCTACATGGCCCCTGAGGTGCTTGATGACTCTATCCAGATGGACTGTTTTGAGTCCTACAAGAGAGTGGACATCTGGGCCCTGGGCCTCGTCCTTTGGGAGATCGCCAGGAGGACAGTCAGCAATGGTCAGTATGTTTTACACATATTGGATTCAATATAGCTCTGTCTCTTTTAAATCATTTAATTTCCTTGATTCCATCAACTCAGCCAAATGTTTTCCTTCAGAACTGACAGAGTCACTACTTTAAGCTGGACTACGTAAAAGCTTTTCTGCAATTGATATAAACATTTGGCCTCAATTCAAATGCCCCCACCCACAGTATGTGGTCTGTTGAGAAGCCAGAGGCATTTTATGTGAAATAAAACCGACTTCCTCTCTCCACTGTCAAATAGGGTAATTGCTCTATAGTAGGAGCTGGGCTTTCAGCAACACTCAAGATATTGATTTACCCCGACAACACAGTAACCTCACATTTCTCCCACAGCTGCACTTGAGAGCAAGTTAAGCGCAAAATAGCCATGCCACGACACAAATCCTTTTTAATACACCTCAGTGTATTTCATGTTAGCCATTGGCAGTATAAGTAGTATTTCGCACTTTGCTTTAAGTGATATGATCTCAAACATGAATTGTCTCATACTAGGCATTGTAGAGGACTACAAGCCGCCGTTTCATGATGTGGTCCCAAGTGATCCCAGTTTTGAGGATATGAAGAAGGTTGTATGTGTGGATCAGCAGAGGCCCAACATCCCAAACAGATGGTTTTCAGACCCAGTAAGTAATATTCAGACTGACATTAAGCAGCATATAACTGAAGTCTGCATCCGTTTTGATATTCAGAAATACAAGCATTTCAGTAATACCCCCTAATGTTGACAATTGGACACACCGATTGATTTATTTCTCCTAATTAATTTTCAGACTTTAACCTCCATGGCCAAACTCATGAAGGAGTGCTGGTACCAGAATCCATCAGCCAGATTAACAGCGTTACGCATCAAAAAGACTCTCACAAAGATCGACAACTCTCTGGACAAAATCAAAACAGACATTTGAGCCTGCCTCAAGAAGAAGAGGCAGACATATACTAAAGGCCTTTGTAGACATCCAGAGGGTGGACCATCCTAGAGAAATCTCAGAAGACAAAAGACTTTGATGGGTTCAGTGCCCTTATAGTGGCACAGACCTATATTTATTTTAAAAGACTTGGCGGGACACATTTTGGCATCCAAAGATGGCTTACCGGGCATTCCTGAGACTGCCAATGGTCTTGGAAATAGGAAAATATCTACTCAACTTATAACACTGTTAGAAATGTTCTTCAAGGAAGAAACTGTTACCTGGGCATTTGAGTAGGCTTTCTTTTGTTAGAACCGCAGATTTTGTTTGACACTTTTTTTTAGTTTGAAAACTGTCAGAACATATTAGCAGTTTCACTTTATCTCTGTAATTGTACTGCATTGTTTGTTTGATTTATGGTGGATTCATTTGGAAAAGAGGTCAACTTGCCAATTGAACTTGCCAATTTATTCAGCATACTTTCTGAAACAGTAACGGAGTGTTATATTTTACTTTTTGTGTCATGCACCTCGGTTTACAATGGTGTCAGAACAAGTTTCTTGGGATCTCATCTATTCTGTAACATTTAGTTGTACAGCTGTGTCAATGGCACTGTTCTTTTCCTGATATATCGTCCAACTGAAGGTACTCTTGCAGACTTTTTGTATATCACCATGAATTTTACATTGAATTATGTACCTGTTCTATGTTTTGTTTCTTCAGCTTTACAGACACAAATGCTAAAAGAACAAATAAAATATCTGCTAGATGATTCTGAACTCTGTTTCTCCAGAGGCCTGTAAGTAAGCCTGTAAAGCCTGTATACTGTCTTAACGCGTGCATTGTTGTCTTAATGCGTGCATTGTCAAGTAAATGAAGTCAAACTTCAGCCTTTTTTTATTTCTTTAACATTTTATATCAATTAGTGATTTATATTAATTAAATAGAAAAATGTATTTTATCTGTCTCATTTGTCTTGATGCTGTGTTTAGTAGGTGCAATTATTAGCCATGCTAGCGACATGGCTCCAAGGACTGCACTTGTGTCAGTCAGTCCACCACCTTGGTCCATACTGATATATTTCCAAAGCTAATGGATGGATTGCCATGACATTTTGAACAGATATTAATGGTTCCTACTGCCTGTGGTCATCCCCTGACTTCTCCTCTTGTGCAAAAGAAGATGAAATTCTCTTGACTTTGGTGAGTCACTGACTTTTCAACTAACACCATCATCAGGTCACAGGTCTCACATTTCAGTTATGTTTTTCCTGGGCTTTCGTGTTGAGACAGTTAATTATTAGCAGTCTTTCATATCCAGTAATTTTGGTCATGTAGTTTTTATTTCACTTATGTCTGTACCTTCTGTGGTTTCAAATCAAACCCTATCAAACCTCTTGTAAATCCAGTACAGTGTAGAGTAGGGACTATTGCATCTTTAAATACTTCCAGCTTAAACCTGAATTCCATATTCCAGTGGCTCTATTCTTGTCAGAACAGGAAGAAATGTTAGCTTACACTGGTTTCATTCATTAATGTACTGTAAATTCTGCTCAGTAATCTATTTCTGTCCTGTGAAAATCTCGACATCTGCACTAATAATGTAACAAATTAACATTAATTTGGAAAAAGGTCAAAAGCCCAGACATTTTCCCTACCAGCTGTAGACTGACACTGCGTGCACTGCGGATATCTTGGCAGATGTCAAACAGAAACTAGGCTCCTGGTGGTTCGCAGACTGATTAATATGCTACAAGAGTTAAGGGCCAGATGATAGAAACACAACAGTGGATGCCTGATGGTGCTGAGACGCCCTGCTTGCATGTATCAACAGCTGTCAGACTTTTTATTTAGACTGTCTTCATATTCAGAATCATTTGATCCATGTTGCACAGAGCACAGAGGTTTGACCCAACCAGTGTTAAAATTGCATCTTGTTTCCCCGAGGTCCTGTACTTGGTTTGGATACCTGCTGTGCACGTCTGTACATTATGACATACATCAGATGGAGGAGTGTTAACTCCTTCCTCTCTTTCAGAAAGGCTCCTATGTAACTAATAACTTATTATGATTGAGTTGATAAATAAGAACAAGAAGATACTGATACTGATACTGACTATTTTAACTGTTTAAAGTGACATTTAAGAACTTTCCATTCACTGTCTGTACAAGTTTTTAATGTTGTTTTTCCTACCTTCAGCCTGATATTCATCTATTCATAGTCCCTGGATGAAGACTGGTAATATACTACAACATTGGGTGCCATTTCAACAGTGATGTGGAGCAGAAATTACATAATTAGTGGTGTTTTCTGAACCAATAACAGAACATGGATTCAGTAGTTATTATTGACGACTCGTTCCCTGTTGTTTCCAAAGCTGTGCTGTTGGTATAGAACGTGTAGTCTGCCTCGATTTTGCTGTGAATGCATGGAAAATTACATTTTGTGCTTGTGTAGTCTTTGGGATTAAGCTCAGTTCACTCCTTCACTCTCCCTGGTGACACTGGCACCTGTTGTTGCTATGGAGCCTGAGCAGCAAAAACACGACTTGGTCCCACATGGCCTGCTGTAAATCACATATTGCATACAGGTAAATGTACGGCAGACCAATTCAGTCATCAATACCTGAAAGTGTTTACTCTTTGCTTGGGGTAAATGTTAGCAGTGATATATGTCTTGCCTGGTTTCTCCCATTTTGTGTGCTTGAGTTCTGCTCACATCCAGGGAGAGGAATTGCAATAGCCACATGGGTGCAAGATAGGCTGCTTAGGGTTGGATTACCAAACAGGCAAAGCAAAGAACTGCCAGTCCCTCAGGAGACACATAGTTGTTAATTGGTCTGTGGTAATTTAATTAAATGAAAATTTGTTAGAGAACTTGCACCTCTCAAGTTCAATATCAACAAAAGTATGAAACTGTATTATTACCCAATGTTATGGTCCTGTCTGGTCAAAATCTAGATTTTTCATTATTTGAGTTTATTTTGTGCTCACATGGGTACATACATAACTTTTCTGTGTAGTCAGATTATCATACTCTTAACTGGCACATAAAAATCAGGGCCAGGTATTTAAGGATAGGAGTACTAGTTAGTCTATAATAAAGCTGCTTTATAATCTGGATGCCCCAAACAGGTTAATCTGGCCATTTCTACCATTCCCTGGAAACCCACGTCACCATAGACCATTTATTGGCCCACTAGTGTGGAATATTCATATTTCCTTTGGGACAGTGTGTGTATGTGTCTGCTTTGCTCAGTACAGAGTTTGATGAGACTGTTATAGCCTACATTATTTGTTAATGATGTAGTCTGTCGTTTTGAGTCCTTCTAAAGACTCTGGATTACTTTCCCATATTCAGCGTACTCTGAACAATTTGTTCTGGTTTCCTTTCACCGCAAGCACTTAGTAAATAAGTGAGAACTGACACCTCAGTGAACAGGTCATTTCCATATTCAATCAGCAGACAGGAGGTGGTGTTTCACTGGACCTGCAGCACTTAAATGGATGTGCAACACACTTTCTTTCTGGCTCTCATTCACATGTCTTTATCAGCGGTCTGCAGCGCTAATCCTCTTAAACTCCTAGTCAACAGAGGCGGAGCAAACCTCTCGTTGCGTTTTACAGTTTCCTCCCCGCTCATTTACTGTGAGAGGCTTCTGTGGCGGGGTGCATGGCCGACGGACTTCACCGCAATGTGTGATGTTGTGTTTACTGTAGAGTAGCTGCGTGGAAACGGTGCTTTGGAGAAGGGTGCAGATGCGGCACTTGCCATGACTTGTCCCGGGAAGCAGAGCTTTCAAGCGGCGTTGATCTTCCTGTCTGTCGCCCAGCTGACTGCAGGTACAGTAGCTCGGTTTGCGTTGTATCAATCAAATGCATTCATTTGGCAAATGACACTGTGTCAAGGTTTTATGAGTTATTAAACTGCTGACAGTATACAGTCATGGCTAAATAGTTTATTCAATTGACTTTTGAAAGCTGTTTTCAGGAAACATGAGTGAATTGAGTTTATATAACTTAACCGAAGGACAAATAATTTCATACTAATCAAAGTTAAATCAAAAAGCACCAAAAGTACGGAATAATAAAGATGTATTAAGTACATATAGTTGTGTGTTAAAGCTCTGAATTCAAAGACCAGTTATAGAAATAAAAGAAACAGTTACCCCCCAACAAGCACCCTGTTTTCTTAGCAAATAAAAAAGAGAGTGCTTTGTAGAAAAGGAAACCTGCGAGATAAACACTCTTTTCAAAAAAATTGTAGAATATTGTCAGTTTTATTCTTCACTGCCATTTCAAAGTCACCACTCATGCTGTAAGATCATGGTGAGATTATGATGTTATTGTTATTGGTAAAATTTTAAATGTACTAGTTTCATAGAGCAGGATTGCTTTCATTTTGTGTGGACTCTTACCTGTTTGTATAACAAGGATTAACATTGTTTTTTTAATAATAATAAAAAACAATCTAATTTGCTTAACTAAATTCATACTAGAGTTGAAACAATTAGTTGATTAGTCAGTCCACCAAAATTAATCTGTAGCTATTTTTGATAATTAATTACTCATTTCAGTCATTTTCCAAGAAAAAATAGCAGACTCTCCTCTAGTTGAAGCCTTTCTAATGTGAGGATTTGCTGCTTTTCCTTTTCATATATTATAGTAAACTGAATACTTTTGGATTTTGGACTGTTGGTCCAAAACAAGCAATTTGAAGATATCACATTGGGCTTTTTTGATTTTCATGTTTCACCATTTTCTGACATTTTGTAGACCAGACAGTTAATAGTAAAGATTATCAGCAGATCAATCAATAATGAAAATAATCGGCTGTTTGCAACACAAACACCTCCTATACATATTGAGTCAAAAAAAAACTAGCAGCTAGAATGGAAGAAGTATCCCAGGAAAGATGTAAACACCATGCACCTACTGCTGTTGTCACCTGGTTTGTTCTGGTGTGCCCTGTTGAAGACAGCAGTGTTTGCAGTGCACTAACCTTTTCCCTTGTTTTTGGATGCTAATAGTTCAGGCTTTGAATAAGTCATTAACACTAACTTGAAAAAAGTGAAACACACAAGATGTGTGGGAGCTGTTTCAGCCTATTTCCAATGGGGCAAGCAGGTAGTTGGGTTAATTTTAGAAGAGTCAAAACTTTGGCAGGCTCTTTCTGTCAGCAGATGTTCTTGTTTTCTACAGAGTAATAATTGAAGTGCACTTATTGGACACTTTATTTTGTTAAATATAACTGAACACACAAATTCAGCTGTGCGGTTCTTCTCAGAGATGCACTCATTCCAGGTTGTATAATGCTTTACCCCTCATATTGCTCCCTTTGTAATATGATGCATAAGTGGTACTTTTCATAACAGTCGATTTTTGCTGAAGACTTCTTTGGTTAAATGGTTTTGCAAGTGTACAAGCCTCAGTAATTGCATGTGATTAATTACTTAATAGGTCGTTAAAAGTAGTTGATAGGCAGATTTAAACAATAGATACAAATGTACAGTTACCATTTCTTGCATCGAGTTGTGCAATAATTTATAGGCAAACTCTGCTTCTCCACTTATGCCTGTTTTCTGCTCCTGTCAAAAATCCCTTCCATGTTGGCAATGTTGTGAATGTTGGTTCTAGGAATCTGCCTGCCTCAGGGTCTGACTTTGATACTTTTTTTTGAGTCAATTTGGTCCAATTTCATTACCAGACATCACACACTGAGTCAAGTAAGGCCTCCCCTGTCCTTTTAGCATTGTACTTCCCCCCTCAAAGATTACCTCAGCACAAATGGCTCATGCCTACTTTACTGAGCATCTCAGAGAAGGAAGTCAGTTCTGACTGCCTCAATATTCTCAGTGACACATACTTGGTTGTATTTTTACGTTCAGGAGTACATGCACTTTGTTCCTTTAGGAAATGACTCATATCAATTGGAGGACCAGGATTTAGGGGAGCTGCGGGTAGGGGTTCTTGGGAAATAATCGAAAACATGTGAACACGTTTCCAACTTGTGTGGAAATATGTAAAGTGTTTCTCCATCTACTTCAGATTCACCATCTCTGACACATATTGTCCAGGGTAACTGCTCCACCTACAAAACCATGTCCACAGTGCACAAAAAGAGTTTCTAACACCTTCAAGGACAAACAGCTCCAAGCACAGCAATTTCAAGACATATTTAATTTGTTGCACCTCAAAACTCCAATTCCATGAAAAATTTTCTCCACATTTGAACTGTGTTGTAAGACCTCACGTGCATTTGTGTAACTTTCATCGATTTCTGGTTGTTTTTACATCGTTTGTTTTGTTCATTGTGGCTCTTTCACTATGTCAAACTATACAGAGATAAAGAAATTCACTGTCACTTCACACTAATCACTTACTGAGCTACAGTATATTCAAACTTTATTTAATAATCATTGTCCTTGATAAAATTGTTGCCAGGCAACTCTCAGATATGTTATAAAAGAAAAGTATTTTTGGCGTATTCCAGTCAGGTTCTCCCTGACCTGAAGTCCGAATCTTTCGTTGGCTCTTGATTTTGTCAAGAGGTCAGCATCACTGGTGGAAGAGCTTTACAAAGCCCTTTAAAACACAACACTATTTTTTTTCTACAGTAGCTCTAAATCACTCTGATTAAAAGACCAAATCAATGATCGGTTTATCCTGCTCAAATGTTCTGTACACCACACCGCTACACCTAGGTGACATGTTGCTTCATTTCAATGAACATGGGCACTGTTGTTTGTTTCTCTCAATCCTGTGCCATCTTGGTGCTGTAAACTCTCACTGGTGCAACAAATGTGTATTAATCTATATAGATATGTCTATACTATATAACGTATTTGTGACCCATTTTCAAACATTAGATCTTCAGTTAGCACAAATGCACTTAGGCCTGAGTTCCATGAGGTTGGCTCGAATTTATTGTCATTATCTCCATAAATAATATTCAGTATAAAGTGGCACAAAATCAAAGTCCTTCAGTGCTACATTATAGACAATAAACAAACAGGGTAGGAAAGTTAGATAGTATTGAATAGTTTTCAATGGATTTGTTGAGAACATTGCTAGCCTTTTCTTTTGAACCATCTATCACTCCATGTGGCTGGTATTTCAAATGTTTTGTGAGTGTGAAATTAATATGAATCATTTGTTTATCATTACTGTTTGTTTTATCATTCAGTCACTTTGTTATAATTGTGTGCTTTAAGAATGAACTCTGTACCTACAGTTTGAGTATAGAAATGTGGGTAACTGAAGAAAGTGAAAACATTATGCAAAAGTATTCCAGATTTTCTGTGTTGAGGCTTTGTTTCCCTGGAAACTGTAACCGGACCTATGTTCATCCTGATAGGTTATATTAGTGACTGTCCAGCTAGTGGACAGTTTATGGCTTCTTTCCAGTTGATTAATATTTTTTATTAGGGTTAGGGTTTTATTAGTATTTTTTCTCCCATTGTATACAATATATTTTGTAATCCTCAATCTATCAGTGTTCTGTGTGCTTACTGTAGTCAGAGTTTTCTAATAGAGCAATTTTCAGTGACAGTTTCTCTTCATATTTGTTAGTTAAGTTTTGTTGTGGTGTGCCCCAAGGATCAATTCTTGGCCCTATCATGTTCTTTTTTGATATAGTGAACTTCGTATTAATTTGCTACATGGATGACTTATAGCTATATCTTTCATTTAAACTGTATGACAATAGCAACCTGTCCTCCTTACTGATTAGTTTAGCAGTTCTCAAGGCCTAGACATCTTTACATCTCTTTTAAAACTCAACAAAAAAGAGAAACTCTTTCACTGACTGAATCCATGCATCGGTCATGAAAATCTATTTCAAAGCCCAGTTACAAAAGTAAGAGTCACTGATCACAGCATGAACTTTGACCACAATCTCAAGAAAGTTTCCTAATTTTTCTTCCAGTTGCGCAATGTATAGTTTAATGTCTGTTCTTATCTGCCAAAATCTGAAAAAAAGATTTATTAATGTTTTTCTTCTTTGTTGGAAAGAGTATTGCAATACATTAGATTGCTCCACTTCCACTTCAAAAATGCCATTGCTAGACTTTTAACAGGTTGAAATCAAACAGTGCTTGTGGCTTTTGAGTGTCCTCAAAACTCTTCAAGAATTACTTTTACATGTTTTTACACTTTATTTCGTAATGTTATTGTTAGCATCATCTTCATTATTATTATTTAATCCCTATTTAATTAAAGTGCCATGTAACATGCCCTTGACATATATAATACTTACTACTTAATGCTTTTATTTACTTTCAAGACAGTCACTACTCATGAGGACTTGTTGGAAGTTGGCCGAATGGGTTTCACATTCAGTGCCACCCAATACAAAATAAGTCAAATCAATTCTTTATTTCTATAGCACATAGAAACATAGCTTGAGCTGACCAAAGTGCTGTACAAAGTGCTGTACAAAGAGCAATTAAAATAAATAAGTGAGACATGGATCAGCTTTCTTGAAGATTTACAACTGGGGTGTCAAGAATTAACTATATCTGTATTTAGTTCTTTAGAACTGTACTTGAAGCAGTTCGCACCAATCGGTTTATCAATGATGAATACAGTATGTATATATAAAATATTATGTGAAACTGACTACAATGAACCTGTGTAAAGAGGTGCTTGGTGAAAGACAAAATATCCTGACAAAAAATACTTTGTTGGGTCTTAATATCTTAGTTACAATGAGACCAACTTGGCATGCAAACCCTTAACTACACATAGCACATACAGTTCAGACAACAGCCACCAGTTTTTACTGGAATGTAGATAAACTGACAGACACCCATTAAGATTTACTAAAAAGTATGAGAATATATTCATTTAAAAAAATTAATAAACAAACAAATTTATTTAAATCTAAATAATCTAATTTAACAACTATATTATATGATGTGTTTATGAATACTGTAGAGACCTTTACTTATATTATTATAGGTTAAAAACTGGGGCTACCTTAAAAACATTTTGATTAAATAATGTACAATATTCACACAGTTATTTCCAGGTTTTTCCAGTGAGCAGGCGGTGCAGCTTTTCTTATCAATCACTCACAGTGTTATCAAACAAAGCATGACAGCAGCTCCAAGTAGAACACAAGATTATCTGGGTGTTAAAGTAAGAGGTATTACATCGGTTCCTCCGCCTCCATCCATTTAAGAGTGTAGACCTCCTTACCTAACAGGAGCCTCCTGCTTCTGAAGAGTTAAAGACCACTAACAATGACAATCTGTGAATGAAAGTGTTTCTCTAATATCCCCTTTCTTTGCAATTTCTCAAAGCAATGGATTGACTCCCAGAATGTGTGTGTGAAGAAAATTGTTATCTAGCCATCTTGAGTGATTCGATGTGTTTCAGGTCTGAAGTGTGTGTGCCAGCTGTGCACCAACCACACCTGTGAGACCAGTGCAGACGGTGCCTGCTGGAACTCTGTGATGTTGATTGATGGGAAGGAGGAGACGGTAAAATCCTGTCTGTCGCCCTCTGAAATGAAGGGCCAGGTCTTCTGCTACAGCTCCCGCAATGTCTCCAAGAGGAACTGCTGCTTCACTGACTTCTGCAACAACGAGACTCTGCACCTATACCCAGGTACTGCTGAAATTATCATTATTATTTTATTTCAATACAATATGGGTTTAATAAATTGTGGTGCTTCTGAACTGATTATCTTGTTTCTATCTCTCATTGAACGTGGATTCATCCGTTCAGACCGTCAGTTAATGTCACACTGCTCAGTAGTTACTGCATTCAGTCGACAGCAGCACCAGCTCAATCCCAAGTGTGGGATTTCCCACTCATTCTGGCCCCGGCTAGACGAGGCGGATGCTGATCCTACTAGATCCTGTGACATAACAAATCTGGCAGAGGCTATGGGACGGCGGTTAGTGATCCTCCCCCTCCCTCCCCTGATTTATAAATAAATACTTTGTCAGGCATGTAGTCCGACCGCAAGTTAAAAGCCTCTCATGGGTCTGCTGGGTGGAAGTTGGCCTTAAAGCAGAGGGAGATTACTTTACACCTGTGGATATACGACTCAGTGGAAAATGCTGGGAGGTCAGGGTCACACTCACCATGTGGGCTCATGAATATTTGCTGTGTTAATGTAATATATATCTATTTTTATGTTTATTTGTATATTTACTTTCACTTCATGGTAATTAAATACTTTATAGCCTCATGTAAATTGGATAATTTATAAAGAATGTAAATTGGATTTGTCGAAGTTGCATTCATTACTTTTTTAGCCAGCTTGGAGCTGCACCTAATAATAAGCTGAAAATACACACAGTTATCATGTAAAAGTAATATGATTGAGTAATATGATATGATTAGCATCTGTTTTGATCTCCCCTATCTCCACCATGCTCCAATATATTCACCAGCTAGCAGCTTACTTTGTCTGTCTGCTGTTTGGGGCTATAGGAAGGTAGACTACAGTGGGTATATCAGAGCTTTTTGCTGAAAACAGCTCTCTGCTGCTGCTGGAAATGTGGTTGATGAGAGTCAAGTCGTAAAAGCAAAAGACAAATAGTCTGTCACCTTGAACAAACCTACACATTATACAGAGTCATTTGACCATTGTTCGTATGAATGTTTTGACTAATGCAGCTTAATAAAAACATAAAAATGAACATCAGTATAGTGCAGAGAGGCTTCTGAGTGGCCTGGTTTAAATTGTGATTCCATTTGACATTTGACATTAAACACTGTGCGAATTTGTAAAACATTGTTTTACATTTATATTTATTTCAGTGCTTGCAAACACACAAATGTTTTTTTTCCCCAATCCATTTAATTGCTCATTTTCTCACTGATTTTAAAATTGCACTAAGCAACTAGATTGACTTGTTTATCAGAATTGTTGCAGATTAATTATCTGTCGATTGACTAATCAATTAGTCGACTAATTGTGTCAGCTCTGATTTGCACACAGACTTTAGAATAGAATAAATAGTAAATGCAAAAAAATACAAAACACATCTATTTACCTGGGGAGCCCCAGTTGATTGCAAATGACTAAAAACAGATACAATACACTGATCTTCTTAGAACTCTGCACCTCTTAGACAACAACATTCGAAAATATTCGAAAATATTTACTCTTGGTCATAGTGTGAAATAATACTACTAATAATTAGTCCATTCTTAATTTTTGACACTAAATAAAACAAAAATGTAAGTGTTTTTCCTCCACTTATTTATTTGTGTAAAATAAATTTGAGTTAGATGGAACTGTCAGAGAATGGTCACTTTCAAAAAATGTGGAGGTTGTATAGGAGATTTAAAGTGAGAAGTGCTGCGGACTGTTGATGAGACGGGTCGGGGCAACAGCCTGAGGCTGTGATGGTGTCGACTGTGAATGAGGACACTACAATCAATCTGTTCCACTGCTCTGCTAAATATCAGTACGTGAGCTCATGCGGTGTGTTATTTATTTTTCATACATAAAAACTTCATGTTCATCAGTGCTGTGACCTCTGCAGGCCTAAACGGTAGTGTGTATTTGCAGTTATAAGCTGAGTTTATAGTAGGTAGTGGTTTGTGGTTTTGTGTAGCTGTATTTACAGATTTGTTAAGTTTATTGTCCTTTAACACCATGACAGGGATGAATTCTGTCTTCTTCTATTATTTCTGTTCCAATCATTTATATAGATGTTACTGCTGAGATTACACCCTTGTCCCATACACAGTCACCAAAAGGCAAAAAAAAAAGAAAAAAGTTACAGTTTATAGAAGGTCTTTTGCCATTAGGCCAGAGGACAGTAAGGTCTTGTTTTTCACCATATCTGCTGAGGTCCAACTGGATATGTATTTAGGTAAAAGGCTAAAGATGTCTTAGGAAACTGTGGTTTAGTTCATGATGGGTTGCTCTGCATATTGGGTCATCTGCAGATGTTGCATGTTTGTGGCTCCTGCTGAGGACATTTCATACTTTGGGGATTTGAGAAGATGAAAAGGCCAAGAAACATAGAACCACAGGGTTTTTCAAGTCTGTATTGTAACAATACTCACATGTGTACGCCGAGAGAGTCAATAGGTCCTGTAATTAGTTAATATGAAACTACAGCAAGTTGGCCGAATCAAATGGATATCTCCCAAAGTTAGTCTTTTTAGTGCAAAATTCTTTGTTTTTCCCAAACCTATCAATTAATTGTAGTGCTATGCTAAGGTGCTATTACATTATTCCCTGTGAACACTTTTGTCATCATATCTGCGAATCTGATATTATCACAGTGCCCACCAGCTCTGCTATTTTTGTTTGTGTTGAGATCTTCCTTGTCCACCCACAGACAGAATGAAGGTCATGGATAGAAATGCCAGGTTACATTGTTTTGCCAAACCCACAGTTTATTACAAAGCCTCACAGGGCACCTGTGTGTGATAAGTGTATGTCATCTATTTAAGTAAAGAGTGTTGTTGTAAGAAAAAAATGCATTTTTAATTTGGATTTTTGGAGAAAATTTATTGGCACCACGTTTCTGTATCTCTTTTGATTCATGACATTTATGGGCAGTGATTAAAATTTCTGGCACTCTGGAAAAAAGAAAAGTTATGTCTGCCACAGTTTTTTGGCAGACATAACTTTGCATCTGCCAAATGTACAATTTCTATTTCTCTAAATCTTAAGATTGCCAACTGGCTATGTCTTAACTTTTGCTGAGTCTGTGTTAAGGTCAGAAAAGTGTTATACAGTAAATCAGACAAGGCTGTCAGCATATTTCAGCACTTGTAAAACACCAATAATAATAATAATATATTCATCACTTGAGTGGCTGACTTCCATCCACTCTGTTGTACACAAAACACTTAATGCCATTATCAACAACAGCCAGCAGAGGGCGCAACAGTCATAGGGACCTCAGTGATAAAAAAACATAATCGCAAATTCCCTCCCCATTCTACTTATTAATTTCAGGGAACATGTACGTTAATAATACTGGATTTGAAAGATTTACATTATCCCGTTGCATATGTATGTATGTTATCAGAGAGGCCTTTGGAAGAACCCGGCTGGAGCAGGCTGCAGCTCGCTGTGGTGATCTTGGTGCCGTCCTGCCTCCTGTGCATGGGGATCCTTCTAGGGGTGTGCGTTGTGCAGGGCCACCACTGTGCCTACAGCCGAGCTCACAAGCAAGACCCAGAGGAGCCTCTAGATGACCAGATGCTCATGTCACCTGACAAATGTCTCAAAGATCTGATCTATGACATGAGCACCTCAGGCTCTGGATCAGGTGAGAGAAAAAACGCCCGTTGTCTTAACTGACACGAGGGCACAGGCTGTGATCATATCCTGTTTGAGTCATTCTCGGCGAGTGAAGCAAGTCAAAATGTAGTGATTACATATGAATATCAGAAACTCTTCAGGATTTCTTAATGACTTTTAACTATAGCATTCCAGCATTCCTTCCAGATGTGATCTACTGAGACAAAAAATCTTCTCTGCTGCGCATAGTCTTTGCCGGTTGAATTATTTTCTGTGTATCTTGCAGGGCTGCCACTGCTGGTCCAGAGGACCATAGCTCGGACCATTGTCCTGCAGGAGACCATTGGGAAAGGTCGATTTGGTGAGGTGTGGCGGGGCAAGTGGCGAGGAGAGGATGTGGCGGTGAAGATTTTCTCCTCCAGGGACGAGAGGTCCTGGTTCCGTGAAGCAGAGATTTATCAGACTATCATGCTCAGGCATGAGAACATCCTGGGATTCATTGCTGCTGACAACAAAGGTGTTTGAACATCAGGGTGTATAATGAGCTCTATAGCTATAGACAACGTGTGACGTGTATTATTTGCTCTGTGCTGCAGATAATGGCTCGTGGACTCAGCTCTGGTTGGTGTCAGAGTACCATGAGCACGGCTCCCTGTATGACTACCTGAACAGGTACACAGTTTCGATGGAAGGCATGATCGTCCTGGCTTTGTCAATATCCAGTGGGCTGGCACATCTCCACATGGAGATCATTGGCACGCAGGGTAAGGCTGTAGTTAGTAAATAAAGAACATGAAGGACAATGACTTCATATCAGAGAATTCAAAGGATTACGACACTTATGTGAGCAATAAAGCCACAAAATACTAAAATATCATTGGACTTGAAAAATGATCATAACCCAGATTCATACTCTAATAGTCTATCTTTTCCGATCTATCTTGATTTATCTGACCAACAGTCCAACACTCAGTTCACTTTGATCTAAACCAGAGGAAAGCAGCTTTGGAGAAGTTTCAATCAGCCAATAATTAGCATTTTGTTCTTAAAACTCATTGGTCATACATTTTCAATCAGTCAATGCTAACAATTGGCTAACAATTGAGTAATAAACTTGGCACTAGTGTATCTGCACAGTAAAGCCTATAACAATTCAGCTGTTCATTTATATTAATTTTGACTGATGGTTGAGCTGTTGATCCATTAATCCTGCAAAAGTTTCCTCCTTATCATCCATCTCTGAAAGCTCCAAAATATTTGTCTTAATATAAACCTATATTTTTTAGGCTAATTCGATACCTTCTTGATTCTAGGGAAGCCTGCCATTGCTCACAGAGACCTAAAGTCTAAAAATGTCCTGGTGAAGAAGAACGGTACAGCAGTCATTGCAGATTTGGGTTTGGCCGTGAAACACAACTCCAGCACCAATACCATAGACATACCGGCCAACCACAGAGTGGGAACCAAGAGGTTGGATATACTGTACATCACAAGGCAACACACAATGAACACACACAAAATGGAAACATGAAATCAAAGTTTGAAGTGACTTCAAACCTGGTCCAGTTTATTTGATTTGCCATGAGTTCTCTGAAGTCAACATGCTCTAAAAACAAATGTAATTCAACATGATAAATTCAGCTGTTTTTTCTGCAGCTGCTCTAAATTTTACGATGATACCATGTCCTGCAGCTCTGAATTCAGAAAACAGATAAAGATAAAGATAAAGATTTACAAGAAACCCACACACTTTAATCAATTAAGGAAATCAAAGGGGTACTGGACTTTTTTTTGTTACATTAGACCTTAATTATTTTGTCCTCTGCAGGTACATGGCCCCAGAAATCCTGGATGAGACAATCAATATGAACAGCTTTGAGTCATTCAAGCGGGCGGATATCTACTCGCTAGGCCTGGTGTTCTGGGAACTGGCCCGAAGATGCTCTGTTAGGGGTACCTTAAATGACACCCACATATGTACACTCCCACTTGTTTATTGATATTTATATGAATATCCCATGGATAAGTAATCAGGAAAACTGCACTGTGGCGCTAATAGTACATACATGACTCCATGGATGTAAATGTCATGCTCCCAATAACAGTAAGTCATTATGGGCTATGTCAGTGTGTCCCTTGTACACACTAATTGAAGGTAGTTTATGTCCTCGTGTTTTTTCATACACTGCACATCCTCAGTCTTGCATGTGAAGAAAAGCATAATTATAAAGAAAATCATCATTTGTTGTTATTTGAACAGGACTTCATGAAGATTTCCAGCTGCCTTATTATGACCTGGTGCCTTCAGATCCTTCCATCGAGGACATGAGGAAGGTGGTGTGTGATCAGAAACTCAGACCCAGCATTCCCAACCAATGGCAGAGCTGTGAGGTGAGATGGGAAAATCTATCTGATCTATCATCAGATAGATAGATTAATAAGATAAGATATAATTCATCACTAGTGTGTGTATGAAACTGTAATGGTGAGATACAAAACAGAATTAACAAGCCCAATGCTTAAGGGATAATTGTGGTTTCTTACCACACGAGGTCTACAGTAAATGTATGAAAGAATTTATAATCCACAAACTGAATGAGTACACTGAGTCATCATTTCCACTAAATGATTCAGTAGCTTTTAACATCTGAGCTTTCTTTAATGCTGACTGAAGATCCGCTGCACAGCATGATACTTCCCAGTTCGAAGCTTACTTGTAAGTAGGACAACCACAAAAGCCGAAGAAACAATCACAATGCTGTAAGTGTGATACAGAAAGGTGCTTTCAGAGATTTTCAGAATGATGAACAGCTTTTCTGTTGGTCTAGTTTGTGCTGAACTTAACAAAACAGACTGAATTAAAAACAAAAAAGCATAGAAATAAATGATTGACACAGTCAGACACTACAAATTTTCGAACTGAAGTGCTGATGAGCGGTGATTCATAAATTCCTTATTTCCATTTTGAAGCTGTGGCCATTCTTTCTTTTTTTTTAAAGTATATTTTTTGGGCTTTTTATGCCTTTATTTGATAGTACAGTAGAGAGACAGGAAATGGGGAGAGAGGGAATGACATGCAGCAAAGGCCGTCCGATGCAGGACTCGAACCGGGGCCAACTGCAGCGAGGACTGTAGCCTCTACACATGGGGCGCCTGCTTAGACCACTCCGCCACACGACACCCCATAGCCATCCTTTCTGTCAGTTATGATGAGTTATGATGAGTTATGCACTCACTGAAGTAACTTCTGAGAATCAGGTACATCAGGTACAGCAGGGCAAGAAATGCCAGTGGTCAGGCAACAGTTTAGACTGAACCACTTTATTTGGAGGTAAAACCCAAAAGTGAGCTCCCTGGAAATCTAGGTAATAATCTCTCATTGCACAGGAAAAGTTTGCGCAGTGGCTGACAGTACAACTACATGAAATGGCCTCAGTATGCTACAAACCAAGTGCTCGTCAGCTGGTTGAACACAGGTGGTTAGGAGGGTCTGCGTTTGACAATTGTTCTAACTTTTGGAAACTGAGATTTAGAGAATAATTTCCAGTAATGCCTTTGCGTCAAGTGCAGCTGTTCAGAACAGAACACATCACACATACTAGTTCATCTGAAGCAGACTGAATCCTTAAGTAAGGTAGATCAAAGACAAACCAGGATGTCTGGGTTATAATTTTATTAATTCATTCATCTATTTTTTGCCTTCCTAGTAAGTTTGACTAACCAGCAATTCATTTGATGAGTCTAATGTTATTAATAAAGAAAGGATTGCTGGACAAAACTACAGAAATAAGTTGTATGAAACCAGAAATTTCCTCAATAGCTTAGGTAAATTTGGGAGGAAATACATCAAATATACACAAAGTCATATGAGCACAGGGTGGATGACACACCTGACACTTTTTCTTAGCTTCACCCCCTTAGACAGTCTCTTGTTATTTTGATATATTATTCCAAAAAGGTTGATCACTCTAACGCTAACATACTGTATAACCGCCGCTCTTATTATTTATGTTATTCAAGGTAAGGAGCTGACAAGTGTTACTGTATTTTGACTCTTGTGTTAATGAACACTGTCATGCTGATTCTTCAGGCTATGCGTGTGATGGGCAAACTGATGAGAGAGTGCTGGTACGCCAACTCCGCTGCACGACTCACCGCTCTACGGGTCAAGAAGACTGTCTCTCAGCTGTCAGTCATCAAGGATGTCAAGGAATAGTTGGATTTGTTGCCTCCCTCCTGCAGATCAGCACTGGTGCCGGCACCGGTGCAACAAGAGGAACTGGGAGTAAACAGGGAGAAGCTGTCCTCTCTAACTGCCTGAGGCTGCCCTCTTCAGGACACAACCACACTGTTCACTCGCAGAGAGGCTTGTCAGGCTGTTGTTGTTGGTGCCAAAGTATTGTAGGAGGCGTCTGTGGCTGCTTTGCATACAGACACCTGGTTGACCAATTTGAACCAAACAGCTAAACTTTAGGTAGGAAGAGCCATATGAAATAAGAATATGTTTAATGTGTATACATATTGTTTTTGCTACCTCACACATTTAAGTGTCCAAAGCTTGAAATTGCACATTGTGATGTTTTTGTGCCATATCTTATATCGTAGCAAACACGGTATTGCTGGGTAGGTAGCATGCTAACTGACAATCAAAGGATACTGGATAAAAAATAAAAAAAAAGCCCTAACTTGTGCTGAATGGTTTTAAATGACACACATATAGTTATACCAGTAAGCTCCAGAGCTGTTGCTCCACACTTAACAGGATTTCAGCAGTGCATTTACAAGTGGAAGAGAACCTTTAGCTCAATATATCAGAGGGTTTTTTTTTTTTTAAAACTGTGATCTAATTCTTATTATTGATTGTTAGCCATTGAGCGTGGCTCTATAGACCAGAAGATGAACTCTGATGCCCGGACTTTTCATCTAGTGCCACCAGATAGGCACTAGATAAAGAGAGCACAGAAAAGGGTCATCGAGTACAGCTTAAACTCATGAAAGCTGAGCCTGACAAGTTTTGATTTACAAAACAACTTGAACCTTTTCTGGCACCACCCTCAGGCTAAACCCTTGTTTTTGATTGACTAGCAGGAAGGATCTATGGATTGCAAGGGTAGCTCTCCATTTTTAACAGTGTCATGGGGCAACGAGCGCTATAAGCATGTACGTATTGTTCTCAATATAAAGAGAAGTAAAACTAGGAACTCCTACTACAGATTTTGCACATTTAAAGCTTTCAGTTGCTGCCATCTTAAAGCTGAAAGCTAGTATTTGGATGAACAGAAGCTCAGTCATGAATGTGAAAATGTATGTTTTGGTTTCTCAAACATATTTATTCACACTGGAAACATCACTTCGAATTATGATTATTATTTTATTATTATGATGATTTAAACAACCCCATTCACACTTCAGAAATTCAGACAAACGACTAACTTAATTTCAGTATTGTTAACATCAGCTGAAGGTATTTGTAGTTTCTTTTAATAGAGTAAAGTAACAAATAATTTAGTTATCAGTTTTCCCAGCAAGTTTTCCATAGTACCACATAATGACGATCTATAAAGATAAAATCATAAAACAAGAAAATAATGACAATGCACAAAAAAGACAAAAATGCTTATGTTATCAGCAGAAGTAGTCCAATATCATGCTGTGTTAATAGTGTACATTAGCACTGGTGGTAGATCAGTTTGAGACATTTCACTTGGAGAGCAAAGTTTTGGCAATGGGGGCACTCTAGGGTCACTAATGCCACTGTCAGACGTGGCCTGTAAAGCCTTGTCATAACAGGCTTAGTGGAAGTGCACACGGGTAAATCTGCATGCCGCGTGTGCTTGTATGCACTCACGTGTGCAGGCGTGTCTGTGTGTGCACGTGTCCGTGTGTGTGTATGTGTGTTTCATATCATGTGAAGCGATCCTTCATTTAAATGTATGAATCTGATTGATTATTGTAGTGTTTGTGAAACTGTGAAACTGGTGCTGTGGATAAAAAAAAGAACTTTCCATGTTTCCCATACACCATGGCTTTAAATTCATGTCTAGCTCTACAGCCTCAGTTAAGGTTCATATTTTTTAGTTGCTAAGGCAAGTTTCATATTTCCATATAGCTGCTTAGTATCAGTGTTGACACATACGACAATATGTAAGTATTTTCCTGTCATGAAGGTATCAGAATTACTGGGTGATACTGTATGTAGCATCAGCAGTATTGCCCCTTGAAAATAAGCTATGTACAGTAGCCTGTTGCTATCTTGGTGAATATCAGTTCATGTGAAAGTTTGTATTATTTTCTTTCTGTGAGATGATTAGTCATGGAATTATTCGACTGTTGCAAAGAGTAGGAAGTATTAAAAATGCAGTATTTAAGCGTCTAGCTCTGCCTCTGCCCACTGAAAATACCTGCAATGTAAATTTGTTTTTATCTGAAGTTCAGTCCATGCTGAGCCAAGCTTACAGTATGTGTCGTCCATTGTGTCAAATCTGCTTCTACAAGAATCAGACAGGTGACACAGAGAAGAACTGATAGCTAAAAGACTTTATCAGTCATTCCAAAGAGGAGTGACCACCATGTGCAATTTCTGACTGGTGTCTTTTTTATATATATTGTAAATGACATAGCTAAATATTAATAAATGTGACACTGCTTTCGTAAAATAAGGCCTACTTTTGATTTCTCATTTAGATGCATACATTTGATATATGTAAAACCTTTCTGTGTTGTTGCTCTCACTATTTATTCTGTGCAGAAATAAGTGAGCTCAGCTGCTGTTGTGCACATTACTGTATGTAGGGCAGAACTTCCCTGAGCAGCTTATCTGACACAGGTCCTTTTTATCTTCCCCATTACACTTCTACCTTAACTGACATGACTCATCTGTGCTCGCTGCTCTGCTGCTCTATTTACGTATACTGTTTATGAAGTGGAGTTGTCCGTTAGACAGAGGAAATAAGGCGGTAATGCTGGGGCCATCAGCGCTACACAGATGAGTCATTCCCTTAAGATTGTGCTGTATGTTGCTTTAACAGATTTTACTGCTGATGCCTGTCACCTAAGGTCACGTAGTTTCACTTACAGGAAGGTTATTGCGCTCTCTTGAGAACCTTCCTATAGCAACAGCACCAAGCAAAAAATCTGGCTACCTAAAAGTGACGTAATTATTATAGTTTTTTTTGTAAACCATTTTAGTCATTGCACATTCTGTTTAAGCCAATGTTTCACATAAGCAAAAAGCAATGATGAGAGGTCATCAAAGTGTTTTTTTTTCTGTTGTCCTCCTTCCTTAGAGTGCATGAGCTGCTATCACTGACTTTTCTGTGCATAAAGTAACATATATGTGGATAGGGATTTGTAAATGTGTGTGAAATGCCTTGGTCGGTTAGGACAACGGCTCTGCTGAGGGTCAGTGGGACAGAGGGGACAACTGTGAGGCATTCATATGTACAGTGCTGAGACTCAGTGAATTTTCTCAGATTTTCGGGTCACCAAAGAAATGCTGCTTTTGTGCATGGTGAAAGATGATATTCTTTTCCTGTAGATTTCACAATGTAACTTTTGAAGGCATGGGTGTGTTAGTGGGAGAGGGTTTGTGCGCTGTGGTTCAGTTTTCTTTGACCCATCAGCCATTGTCCTCCCTGACTGCTGGCCTGTGTGTGTGATTTTTCTTTTGATCCGACCATGTCTGATGCCTTCAGCCCAATGACCCATGCTGTCTGTGTGGGGAGCGTGACACTGGCCCCGGGCTAAATCAACCTTTTGTCTGTCTTCATAAGACAAGTCTCCCTGCTTGGCAGAGCACAGGACTCAGGATCAGACTGAAGCTTATCCCACTGAGAAACTGAGAGTGAGACAGGCTGGAAGCAGGTGCTGGTGGAGGGATGAGGTGGCAGTTTCTCATGCATTGCTGATTTCTGACAGACCATAAATCAAATTGCTAAGACTGCAAAAAGGGAAAGGGACTGTTTGAAGGGGAATTGTACAGCTTAAACATTCTCCCTCCTTTTCTTTTCAAAACAGCCGACCAACCCTTCTCAAGAAAGAGAACAAAAAGTTAAGAGAGGTGAACAGGAAAGTGGGTTTGTTAGGCTGTGATCTGCAAATTCAGGTTCCACCTCAATCACATGATGTGGATTTCCGCTTTGACACATTTTACTTTCGGCTGCACAGCAGGGCAGGGCCACACAGTCACTGAAGAGCTGCTGCAGCAGGACATGATGCTGCTTTGAGGACTACTCTACCATGCAATCCACCATGAATTTCAATGGACTTCAATGCCAGGGCATCCAAGAAAATTACATTCTGGATAATACTCCCAGGAAGAAAAGTTCTCTATTTTCCCGGCGCTCACTGAGGGGGAGCAGTGATCGCCACCGGCAGAACACAAGCTCTCTGCCGAGAGTGTGCAAGGTAAGACAGTAACTCAAGTGTAAGATATGATTAGAATAAACCGTATATAGTGTAAATAGTTACACCTCTGCAATTTAAGTCAAATACCATAAAACACTTACATAACAGAAAGATTAGAGCTAGATTTTTCTCATAGAATATTATTTTATAATGAGAAGCAGTTTGCTGATTTACCACAAACTGTGCAGCAAAAATACAGCAACTTGCTGCAACTGGCCAAAAGCCTTTTAACAATTTTAATCTTCTGAGTTATGTAACACTATAGGATCAACATGTTCTCACATTGAACCACTTCTATAGCTTCCTATGATATTTAAAACTTAATTCCATTTTATTGTTTTAAAGAGGAACTCTGCATTTCTCCTTTTGCAGCCCAAACTAACCCACTCCAACTCACTGGTTGATTACTCTGACCCACAAAGGTAAATCTGTCAAACCTGATGTGCAATTTCTCATTTAACTTTACTACATGTAAAATACTATATATAGCATTTTGCTTTTTTGCAATAGATTTTTTTTAATTGAAAGGAATAATATACATAGACAGAATGTATTTATTTGATGTCTTTTTCTTCTCTTTTGCACAGGACCACAATTGTACTGGAAAAGCAAGACAATGAAACATTTGGTTTCGAAATTCAGGTAAGCCTCAAAACATTTTTATAAACATTAAGATGGAGTATGTATGTTTTGCTGTCATGCTTTTTAAGCTCTAATTTTAGAATAATTTTAATGTGTTTAAAAACTGTTTAAGCTTTTTTTGTAGAAAAGTATTGTTTTGGCAATTTTTGTGACCAAATTGTCTTTTGTTGCAGACCTATGGCCTGCAGCAGAGGAACAGCTCTGATGTGGAGATGTGCACATTTGTGAGTAAGGTGCAGGACGACAGTGCAGCTGAGAATGCTGGCCTGACCGCAGGTGAACCACCCACATCCTCCCGACCCTATATGTGTGCTATACAGGCTTTCATACATGTACAAACGCACCAGACCTTATCGCAGCTTTCTGTTGTACATAGATTGACAGATATATCTCTTGACACACATGTAAACTGTCCTAGCCGCCCACCCACAAAAACACAGACACAAATGCAATGCAAAGCAATCTTGTCTTCTCGTTATTGATTGTTTCCTTTTTTACATCATCATTTATTGTAGGGGATGTTATCATCACAATCAACGGGGTGAGCATCGAAGGATCATCTCATCAGCACATACTTGATTTGATAAGAGAATCAACCAACAGTCTAAAGTGAGTGATCTGCTGGCACAACAAAGCACAGCAGCACATAAAGAAATAACAATAGTATTATAACAGTGTTTGCTGGTGTGTAATGTCTGACATTCTGTGATTCCAGGATGGAGACTGTGTGTGGGAATGTAGTGAAGCAGATAGAGCTGGAGAAGAGGATGAACGCGCTTAAGGTGTGTCTCTCTCAACCCTGCCCATGTTTGCTGTTCACATACTGCAACCTATGAGCAAAACTGCGACACTATACTGAATTACAGGATGACCTACTGCTATATCTCAGACTGAGATATTGTATTTGTAGGTGAATGTTGTGAATGCATCAGCTGAAAAAAAAAATCTACTGACAGTATAACAGTGTAACATTGTGTTTTTTTTTCTGCCAATACAGCAATCACTACGAGAGAAACTGGTGGAGCTGCAAGCGCTCACATTACAGGAAAAACGCCTGATGCGAGGTGAGTGTCTGCTCAGCTGTCAGACCACAGCACTTCCTTTCTCACAACCATTGCCGTCTCTCTAAAGCCAAACTGCCAATGCTGTGAATTCAAGTGTAAACTCCAGATAATTTAGATGAAGGAGTTCCCCTGAGAAATAAGCATACAGTAGAAGCTACTGACGAACTTCCTGTTTCAAACATGTTGACTTCCAGGACCTTTCACTAACAGGGACTTTATGATTTCAGGTAACTTGAACGACAGCACCTTCCACCTCTCCATGGACTCCTCTTTGAGCTCCCCCACAAGCCGACACTTTGGCCGGCGTTTTTCCAGTGACAGTAGCTACAGGAGTGTGATGACAGATGACAGTGACCAGGCCAGTGTGTTTGGGGATCTGTGCTCACCCGGCCCCTGCAGCACAACAAGCACCACAGACGACAGCTGCTTCTTCTCCAGAGATTTTCCCTCTCAGGACAGCTCCAGGAGGTTTTCTTCGAGCTCAAGCCCTCATCACCAGCCCCTCAGCCGCTCCAGCAGCTCCAGTTTTGCCGGCAGCAGCAGCTCCCTCTCTCCTTCCTGGGAGGAAACAAGGATCTCCTCCTTGTTTGGTACCCTGCCCAGGAAAGGCAGGCGAGTAAGTGTTCGCAAACACATACTCAAGTTAATTCCTGGACTCCAACGATCAGTTGAAGAGGAGGAGATGGGAACAAACACTCAGTGACTTGCTGTTCACATGCTCCTTGTCTCTACTTCATGCTGAGGATAGACAAGGGTTTTCATGCTCTGAGACTCTGAAGTGTTTACACACACTTAAAGGTTGGGTTAACCCTTTACGTATTTGCTTTAATGGAGACACAGGGAAAGGCGGACATTGTTGCACTTGACAATTGTCAATGTAAAAGTCTACCCAAAAAGGTCCTAAGCCTTTAAGGTTAGCTTGGCTCACTGTTTGGCACAAAAGCATTATAAAAATGTAAGATATTCTTCCTTTGAGAAATTGTTTGAATGAATGTATGCATCAAATTGTAATGTATAAAAGATGAAATTATATATCCTACTAACTTGAATAAAAACAGATTTTTTTTCTTGTGCCACAATCAAAGAGTGTGATTAGCATTAATCAGAACAGCTTGAAATGCAGTGGCTGTATTCATGTAGCACCTTGAATTTTGAAATTAGACTATAGTGACTTGAAATACATGAGAGTCACTCTCACATTTAAAGAGCACATCTGTCACGTTTCTCAAAACCAAAGAGTTTTGCTCTACAAAACTCTATACCCTGTTGGTGTCTGCTCAGCTCAAAACAGGATGTGGTTACATGAGTACTACTTACCTGTTTTCATTTCTAAAATAATTTTTAGACTTTGCACAACTTACTTTCGGTGTCAGCGAACATTGAAACTGCTTCTTGTAAATTCTTAATGTATTGAAATTTGTTTTTTTCACTTTGGCATGGAAAGAAAATGCAACTTATTAGATTGTGTGTTTTTGACTCACGCTTTTTCTTCTGTATGCAAAAAGCTTTTTCAAAAATAATATACTTGTGAAGTTTTATAAACCCAACAGTGTTTTTCTGTTAGATACCAGGTAATAATTTACACTAATTTTAAAGTTACATTTTCAGCAGGAAAGGTGTGGCTTATTAGACTTATTAGGTGAGCTCCATTAAAGGTGATGCAGGTTATACACACAGTTTACTCATAAATAGACACTCTAAAACTCTAAAACACCACACATTTCCTGTAATAAGTCAGACTTTTCTGGTTTCCTGCTGCTGCTGAGAAAGACAAAAGAGAGCGTGAGAGAGAGCTACTGAGGCATCATTGCATTATGATATATTGAACTGCTTTCTTGAACTTGATTATTTATTCACAAAAAATTATGATGCACTTTATTTTGAAGCAATAAAACCAAGAAAGACATAATTTAAAAATGTATCATGAAAAAGAAAATGAAATGATTGAATGATGATGAAGGGTTTAAAAATGCCTCTTTTAAAAAAGATTAGTTATAAAAACAAGTTGTGCTACCTGCAAAAAGAAATATCAACAACCTTTGAGTAAAAGTATGGAAGTATTTACAACAAAATGCCCTTGAAGGATCAAAAGAACAAGTACTAGTTCTGCAGTAAAATGTCTCCTGACTGATATATTATTATACAGACGGATGCATCAATGTGTGTGCAGCAATGTACAAGTGTAGTTGGTTGGTTGGTTGGTTGGTAGTTGCACCTGGTTTTAACTACTTTATATCAAGGGTGTAGATATGCATATGGACAGTAGGGACATGTCCCTACCAATATTTTTGGGAAGACAGAATTGTCCCCATGAATATTTGAGTGAGCTTGTTCGCACTATGTTTGGAGTGAAGTCATATTAGATCATTCCAATGTGCCCTCGAAGAGGCTACATCTCCAAGGCAACCGATTTAGGTATGCTAACATTTGATTGACTTACTGATAGCAGTGGGAACAAAGGATCTCCTAAACCTCTCTGTTCTGCAGCGCACTGAGATGACACGTTTGCTGCTGTAGCTGCTTCTCTGTCCTGCCAGAATGTTGTGGAGAGGATGGTTGGTATTGTTCAAGCTGGCCTTATATGTTATATTCATATGTTCTCCCTCTGCCTGAGTGGGTCCTCTCCAGTTGCTATGATGTTTTTATGCCTTTCTATACTATTCATTTTTATGCCTTACTATACTATCACATTTAGGTGCCTTGCTATACTATGACTTTTTTATGCTTTACTATAGTATGACTTTGTTATGCCTAACTATATTATGACATTTTATGCCTTCCTATACTATGGCTTTATGACTTATTGTTGTATGACATTTTTATGTCATACTATACTGTTGTTTTTATCCCCTATTTTACTATGACTTTTTATGACTTACTATATTATGAGTTATTTTTGCCTTACTATACTATGAATTTTAATGCCTTACTATACTATGACTTTTTCATGCTTTACTATACTATGTGTCACAGTTCTGCTCCATTGTTCACCTGAGCTCCGAGTACTTTTCCACTCACCCCTTCTCTGCTCCACTGTACCTGCCAGCCACACCCATCTTATTAGCCAACTCAGCTCACCTGTGTGCCACTCATCAAGCCAGTATATAAGCCCCTCCAGTTCATTTACCAGATTGTTCTTTGCCTTCTCTGCAAGACTTTCCAGCATTCTTCTCCGGACTGTATTCCTGTTGTTGACTTCATTTGTCTAAGACCTGCCAGCTCCGTCTACATCCTGGTAAACCCACCTGTCTTCTGTCCCTGACTATGTCTCCAGCCAGCCCCCCAACGGTACAGTTGCCTGGAACTGAACTGTACTTTCTGACCTGCTCTGCTGTGTGTTTACTATGTTTAGCAATAAAACCCTTTGAGAACTGAGCCAGTCTGTCTGTGTGCTGCAATTGGGTCCTACCGCTACCTGTTACACTATTACTTTTTATGACTCACTATACTATGATGTTTTACTGACTTACTATAGTATGACTTTCTCTATGCCTTACTGTACTATGACTTTTTCATGCCTTCATATATTATGACATTTTTATGCCATACTATACTATGACTTTCAATGCCATACTATACTAAGATGTTTTTATGCGTTACTATACTATGACACTGGCTACCTTACTATACTATGATATTTTTATGCCTCAATATACTATAACTTTTTATGCCATACTATACTGTGACGTTTTTATACGTTACTGTACTAAGAGTTTTTTTTCCTTACTATACAACGTTTTTTTCTGACTTACTATACTTTTACATTTTTGTCTTACTATACTATGACTTTTTATGCCGCCCTATACTATGACTTCATGACTTACTGTCGTATGACGTTTTTGTGCCATACTATACTATGTTGTTTTTATCCCTTCTTATACTATGACTTTTTTTTGCCTTACTATACTATGACTTTCTTTATGCCATACTACAGTATAGCATGACTTTTTCATACCTTACTATACTATAATGTTTTTATGCCTTACTATACTATAGCTTTTTTATGCCTTACTATACTATGACGTTTGTATGATATGTTATGCCTTACTATACTATGATGTTTTTGACGTTTTTTTGCCTTGCTAAACTGTGACATTTTTATAATATTTTGTGCCTTATTATAAAATGACGTTTTTATGCCTTACTATACTATGACTTTTTTTTGGGAATTTTATGCCATACTATACTATGATTTTTTATGCCTTACTCTACTATGACGTTTTTATGACATTTTATGCCTTACTATACTCTGACTTTTTTATGATATTTTATGCCATATTATACAATGACATTTTTATGCCTCACTATACAATGACTTTTGTTGACATTTTTATGCCTTACTATACTTTGACGTTCATTTTATGACTTACTATACTATTAGTATATTATAACTTTATGGCTCAATATACTTTGACATTTTAACGATATTTTATGCCTTATTATACAATGAAGTTGTTATGCCTTGCTATACAGTCACTTTTTTTTTACATTTTTATGCCTTACTATACTATGACCTTTTTTCTGGCATTTCATGCCATACTATACTATGACGTTTTTATGACATTTAATGCATCACTAAACTATGACATTTTTATGGCTTACTATACTTTGATGTTTTTTGATGTTTTTATGCCATACTATACTATAACGTTTTTTGACGTTTTTATGCTTTATCATACTATGATGTTTTTTTTTTACATTTTATGCCATACTATAGTATGACGTTTTTATGACATTTTATGCCTCATTATACTATGTCGCTTTTATGCCTTACTGTGCTATGATGGGTTTTTTTGCATTTTATGCCATACTATATGATGACTTTATGACCTACTTTTGTATGATGGTTTTATGCCAAACTATACTACAGCGTTTTTATGCCTTACTACACTATGACTATATTATTACTTTATACTGCAATATACTATGACATTTTTATGATATTTTATGCCCTACTATACAATGTCGTTTTTTGGCACTTTTTGCCATACTATACTATGACGTTTTTATGACATTTAATGCCTCATTATACTATGACGTTTTTATGCCTTATTGTTGTATGATGTTTTTTGAGGTTTCCATGCCTTACTATACTATGACGTTTTTTGACGTTTTCTTGCCTCACTATACTATGACGTTTTTGTTTTTGCATTTTATGCCATACTATAGTATGACGTTTTTATGACATTTTATGATATATATATATATATATATATATATATCATATACGTATATATACCTTACATATAATATACCATGATGTTTTTTTATGTTTTTATGCCTTACTATACTATGTTTTTTTTACGTTTTTATGCCTTACTATACTATGACGTTTTATTGACATTTTATGCCTCATTATACTATGACGTTTTTATTCCTTATTACCATATGATATTTTTTGACGTTTTTATGCTTACCTATACTATGACATTTGTATGACATTTTATGCCTTACTATACTATGACGTTTTTATGACATTTTATGCATTACTTTACTATGACATTTCATGCCTTATTATAATGATAACATTTTTATGCCTTACTATACTGTGACGTTTATATGACATTTTATGCCTTACTGTACTATGTTGTTTGTTGATAATTTTATATATTACTGTAGTATGATGATTTTATGACATTTTATGCTATGTATATATCATATATGTATATATACACCATTTTTATGCCTTACTATACTGTGACGTTTATATGACATTTTATGCCTTACTATACTGTGACGTTTATATGACATTTTATGCCTTACTATACTGTGACGTTTATATGACATTTTATGCCTTACTATACTGTGACGTTTATATGACATTTTATGCCTTACTATACTGTGACGTTTATATGACATTTTATGCCTTACTATACTGTGACGTTTATATGACATTTTATGCCTTACTATACTGTGACGTTTATATGACATTTTATGCCTTACTATACTGTGACGTTTATATGACATTTTATGCCTTACTATACTGTGACGTTTATATGACATTTTATGCCTTACTATACTGTGACGTTTATATGACATTTTATGCCTTACTATACTGTGACGTTTATATGACATTTTA